TACCCTAACAGCATACCGTGCCGCCATTCCCCTCCACGGCCGCCTTAACCCTAGCCACCATTCTTCTTCTTCTTCTTCTTCTTCTTCTTCTTCTTCTTCTTCTTCTTCTTTTCTCATCTGGTTCTCCCTCATCTTCTTCTCCTTCCTCTTCTCTCCTCCTCCTCCTCTTCCGCCCATCTTCTTCTTCTTCTTCTTCTTCTTCTTCTTCTTCTTCTCTCCTCCTCCGCCTCCCCCTCATCTTCTTCTCCTTCCTCTTCTCTCCTCTTCCTCTTCCGCCCATCTTCTTCTTCTTCTTCTTCTTGTAGGACCGCCGCCACAGCAGGTCGCGTGAGGCGCACGAGGTGCGTGAGGGGCGGCAGGTGTAAAAAAAAAAAAAAAAAAAAAATCTTCATCTCAGACAACCCGTCCCCCCCCCAAACCAAATTTTTATTGCAGATTCGGGGTCCTCTCGCCGAGCACAGGAGGACCCCGCCTTCGAAAAAAACATATATATATTTCTGGGCAGTTTTTTCGCCCGCCCGGGCGGCGTCCGTACTCAGCTTTTTTCAAAAAAAAATTCTCTGTTTCTTTAGTCTCGTGCCTGCTTTGCACTTGCAAATCTGCACGTCTGCTAGTTAAATGTGCTGGTCGATTTGCTGCAAGACACGTGCTCTGCTGCCTGAACTACAGAGTGCAAAGCAGGTAAGTGCCTGCCAAGGTCCGGACATTTTTGCAACCCAGGGACCGGTCCGGACTGTCCGGTGTCTGGTGGTGTTCCGGTGATGTCCGGATCACCGGACAGTCCAGACCGGTCCAGACACTGGTCCGGAAGACAGTCCGGAAGTGTCCAGTGTCCGGGTCCGGGGTTACCATGTTTAGACCGTGAAAAACATGCCGCGCCAATTCGCAAATTTTCCGTTTTTGCCTCTCCCGGTTCTCCGCGCTATGCAACTGGTAACCCTCATCAATTTATGCTACCGGTCCCCCGAATTTTTTAGTGGCGGGGGGAGTGGTGGTTAAAAAAAAAAAAAAAAAAAAAAAAAAAGAAGAAGAAAACACGACTTTTCATTTTTCCTTCTTTCAACTGCAGCAAACCGAGAACAGCGACCATGTTCATTAATGGACGACTTCCATCATGCTTGAGGTTCCCGAAACCCTGACACATCTTATCGCACGTCCCATTGTTTGTTGGGGTAATTAGCACACGGTTAGATGAGCAAGCCGGGCCAACACATCCATTCTGTGCTCTGACGCAGATCTAGGGATCCATAGACCAGCCACACTAGCCGTGTTATGTTCATCTCCAATTAGAAATTGCAAATTGCCGCAGCACACCAGTCCATACACCAACAACGAGCTCAACAAGCAGAATATGACAATTCATTCATCCATACAGAGCCAATTCATCAGTTCACTTCTTTACTCGAAGCTCCTCAGGTTATCGCTTACTCTTGTAGTTCTCCTCTTTTGTGCTCGATCCCACTTACCATACTGTGAAGTGCCACTGCTCCAGGAGATTTGGACCGACGATTTTTGCCAATCTGCTTCCAAATGGCCGGTCGATTCCTTTCCAGAGACCGGACACAATGCGCTGCTGCAGCCTGTGCTTCCTTTGACGATGCATACAGACGCAATTGGAATTTGTAGGGGATAGACACTGTCTTATTCAAATCATCCACTGTACATGCTGCTTGTTGTTTCAGTTCGTGCTGTTGGTCGGCTTCTGCAGCTTCGGAATCGTGGCCCTTGGTATCAGACCTCTCTACAGAAACAAGGTCTCGGGCAACTGGGTAAACAGAGCTGTGGCACTCACCCCTAACTTCTACACCATCGTCTCCATCATCAGCAGCAACTCCAATGCCTTTTTCATCTCGCCCACTGATTGTATGATTGTCGTTCTCCACAGCTTGTGAAAGAACGGTAGAGCCATGGCGAGAGTTGATAACAATCGTACCGTCTTTCAAAGATGGACAGAGGCGCACAGAGAAAGAGGGGGCAATGGACAACATCCTCTGTGAAGCATCTACTGAGCAACAACCCCCAGTTTGTCCCAATCCACCCTTTTGCCCCCCTTCAACAGCGCTTGTATCTTTCACGGACAAAAATACGTGCAAACCTTTACCTCTGGATCGTTGCACACAAATACCATTACCCACGCTGTTCACTGATACATGCTTCTCTAACCCGCTCTCACTCCCAGAGCCCACATTCCCATTACTTATCTTGCCACAACCATTCTCCCCAACAAAAGCACGCCCTGTACTATTGCTAATCAATTCCACTCCAGTCCTACAGAATTTGCTCCGTTCTTCATGTACAGTTCTCTGCAGGCCACCAGTGGGAATGTCACTCTCCTGAGCTACTCCATCATAGGCAAGCTCGCTGGCAGCTCCAGCGACACAGGCTTTGGCATCCTCACCACTATCGCCACTGCCATGATTATGTCTTCCACCATCATGCTGTCTGTTCGCAGGTTGGACATATGGCGCACACATACCATCCGTATTCACTGACCAGCATGTAGGACCTGCATTAAATATAAGATCACTCTCCCTTTGACCACCATTAGCACCACCCACATTCCCCATCACAGCAGCGGTGGCAGTGGCTGCACTAGCACTGTCAATGGCCGGAGTCTGAGCATGCGTAGTAACAGACACATTGTCACTGTCATCCTTGCTTGCAACGGCGCCCGTCCTTGGAACTTCTTCAAGTGTGTCTGGATGCAGGCAAAGAGAGCCAGCACCTCCATGTTCAATGCTGCCAAACGAGTTCTGATGCTTCTTTGTTCTCCGAGATTGACAGGAATGAAGACTGGGAGCACGCCTCTCACCAAGCGCACCATCATGGCCAAGGGGATTAATGGTCCTGTCATCAACACGGACAAAGAGGAACTTGGTGTCTGCTGCCTCGTCGTAATCACCAGCTCCAAGGGTACTAAGCTCACATCCAGGTAGTACATCCAAATCAGCTCCTATTCTAGATGGACTTGTGGCAGGATCGTCAAATATGGGATTCTCTCGAAGAACAGCAACGTTATCGCCTGCCCTCAGAGGGGCCAACTCAACATTAGTGTTGGCAACTTCAACCTGCACAGGGGTGACAATCCTCTCACACTCTCGCCTGGTGTGTACATCCACACCACAATTTTCTGGAGAAATTCCTGGAGAATCATCTGCAAGAATGCCGTTCGCTCCAACTGACGGCTCCACTATGCTCTCCTCAGCTTTTATGATAGACACAAGGTCGCCCCTTTCTTCACAACATGGATGCACATCCACAGCACCTTTCGCTTCAGGGTCTCCACCTAGACTAATGCAAAAAGGATCAAAAGATGGGACATACTCAACAGTACCACCCACAAGAGAAGGCGCCTCCACAGCCTTATCACCCTTTACAGTTGGCTCAGGACTGTTACTTTTCATCCTTTTCTTGCATATCTGATTTTGCTGTATATCTGAATTTTGGGACTTTCTTTCAGCATCCCAGGAAGAACTCGTAACAACATCACCGAAGATACAACAATCTTGAGGAATGCCTCCTTCATGGTCACCACCCTGGAGAACAGAATCCTCTACCGGCCTGTCAACACTCATAGCAGGCTCAGAACTGCAACTACTCTTACACGCCTCACCACGGCTTGCACTGCCCTCCTTTTCACTGTCTCTTGCATGACTCTTGGCAAGGCCGTTCCCAAGTGTGGCAACATGGCACCCATCTCCCACCGGAGGCCGATTAACAGCCTCATCGAACTCTAGCTCTAGCCCATGGCTGTTCCCCCTTCCACAGGTTTCACCAGTTGGCACATTCGCAGCACAGTTACATTCAGCATTTTCAAAAAGACTAATGACAAGGTCGTGACATGAGAGGCAATCTCTAAGAAGATCGCCGTGGCCACCACCTCCTGAAGAAGGCTCCTCCCCCGCATTGTCATCTTTTACAACTGGTCGTGGACCACTGCTTCTCCCACATCCCGCATCCTCTCCTACATCCCCCCCATCACTCTTCCCTTGAGCCTCTCCAGCATGAGTTGCGACATGATCATCACCAAGATCGTCATCCTGTCCACCACCTACTCCTGAAGGCTTCTCCTCACGCTTGGCAATTTCTGTCATTGCTCCAAGGATTTGACCAGTAGAATTGCACTTCTGGTCACAGAGGTCCTCAGACTTCCCAGATAGGTTGTTGCAGGCATAACGAATGGGTGTGCCACCACCACGAACATGTTCATTCCTCTTGCCATCATCAGCACTGCTCCTCCCATATCCTTCGGTCAGCCGGGCAACCACAGAATCCCCTTGTCCTCCCAACACAAGCGGAACATGAGTATCACGACAACCATCAACTGCCATGGGGATATCATCGGCACACACTTCACTACAATCAATGATGCCTGCAACAGAAGCATCACTCTCCCTCCCACTTCCACTGCTCACATCAGGGGCATAACTACCAGCAACACATGTGCCACTTCCACCACTGCAGGGTTGAGGCCTCCTGTCACCTTCTCCGATATTATCACTGTTGAGATTGCCAGTATCACCATTGCCAAAGACCTTCAGATCTCCAACATCTTGACCTTCAGGAGTAGGTTTGACTAAAGCACCTGTCAAACTTACAGCAGCATAGTCTTCTCGCTGACAATCAGCATCACTACCACCAGTGCAATCTGCATGCCCGATACAATTACCGCTGCCAGCACCATCATTGGCAAACTCACAGTCATTCAGCGGCTTGTGATTGCCAGGCTTACAAGCGCAATGGACTCCCAAGTTGCTGTGATGGCGATCAATTTGTGTATAGTGCAACAAGGACCTGGCAGCTCCAGCAGCACCATCGTTGCCAGAATGTCCGTTGCCTGCATGGTTCTTATGATCACTGGCAGCACCGTCAGCACAGTTGACAGCACAGACCAGTTCACCTTCCTTCACTTTGGAAGCATGGAAGTCTGTACCAGACTCGTTCAGGCAAGCAGTCACAACAGTGTCAGACCAACCAGATGTGCCAGCCTCAGGCGATTCCTCCGCACCAGGAGCCCTATGTTGCCTCACAATCACAATCTGATCACAAGTAACTGAATTGTGGCGACCATTGATCCCAACCAGTCCTCCATCATTCCGCTTGGGAGGTTGAGAGAAGCCAGTGGCTGACTTGCTGGGATCACAAATACCTTCCTGACTGCAAGGCAAGGCAAGGACGCTGGGTCTGACAACTTCGCAAGCAGTACATTGCTGAGCCTTGCCATCTTCATTACAAGGGGCACCATCCATGCAGTTACGATTGCGAACTCGATTGTCACCGCTGGACCTCAAGGGAGCATGGCTGTCCAGCAACAATGAATCATCGTTGCCTTTGGCAACACCATCATTGGGATCTCCAATGCACCCATGTTCTGTCAGTCTGACCTCGCCTTCATCCACACCTTTGGCATTTCTCGTTGGACGACAACCTTCCAAGAAAGGTGTTGCATGTTCACCACCTAACGCCTGCGTTGGGGAGCCCATAACAAGAACATCATGGTCGAGCGAGACAGCGACTGCCGACAACGCGGACTTACCTTCATCAAGCACATCACGCCCCTGTGCAGTTGCCCCTTCATCCACATCAGCAATAGCAGAATCTCCTATAGAGGGGGTAACACAGCTTCCCTCTAAATGAGCACCTTCATCAGCATTGCTTGCAAGTTCAGCTGCTGCTGGCACACACGTTTGGCAATTAACGATTTGCAAATCCTGGGTGGGAGAGGACGAGGCTGCAGCAGAGGCATGCCTCCATGCATCAGGCTCAGCATGCCCTCGTGCAAGCGATACTTGTTCACTGCGGTCTGCGCATAATCTTTTTCTGTCTGGCATTGAAACAAGCCCATTCACAGCAGCTCCTTGTTCCGTGGCCTTGGTGTTGTGGCACATCACACCATCGCCATTTGCAGGGCCCTGTTTCATAACCCCTTCACCACATTCAGCAACAATGTGTATCAAGGAAAGAACCATGCCAACACTACTACCTCTGTTAGTGACTTCACCGCCGCTACATCCCCTTGCTTCTGCGTCATTGTTTTCTGGAACATGCCCACTCGTAGCTTTGTCTTCCTGCAGAGCTTCCCTTCCAGTGTTGACGGTACCATTTGGAGAAAATGTCGCTCCCCCGTCATCACTGCAAATACCTGTTGCAGGACCAGCATCCTGAGCGCATCCAGCGACACCGTTCCAGCCAGCCTCGTTACTTCCCAAGCTCCTCTGATCACAAACTCCGTTGCCAGCGTCATCTGGATGAACACGGGGCAGCTTGCCCTGACCCCTACAACTGTCACTGAAATACCCAGTTGAAATACTGGCAATGCTGTCAATGCCTGCACTCCCATCATTATGAATTACTGATGCAGCTTCAACATGACTTGCACTATAAATAGCCCCTTGAACATCATCTCCACAGCGAGCCACCTCCACACACAAGGAGTTGCGACTACCACCACCCCTTCCTGCACTATCTACAGCAAACCCCTTCACTGAACCTGTCAAACAGGTTCCCCTACTCCCACTCTTGACAGGTCTCTGAGTTTGCCCGTTCTTTCCCAAGGCAGCATCACCGTCTCCACAATGGGCATGTTCAACTCCGGTGCACTTGTCAGAATCTCCAACAACACCATCACCACTGTCAATCGCATTATCATCATGCATCATAGCAAATCCATGTTGCATCATTGCATCGGCGGATAGAGCATTGTCACAGAGACCCTCCACTCTAGGGACATCGAGAACAGTCCATTCTTGGCTGCCTGCCACAGCCATGCCAAGAAACATTGCAGCACCGCTGCCGGTCCCGCTCTCAACACCCCTCTCACACCTATTTCCCGAGGTTAATTGACTCACGCTAACTCCATCACCACCCATTTGACTGTCACTACTATTGCATGGAGGGACTTGCTTGGGGTCGACATCACCATAGCTAATACTACCCCTCTTCCCAGCTGACCCAGCAGAAGTCTTATTTACATTGCTGGTATCCACTTGATCTCCATCATTCACACTACTTGTGCAAGAACTGAACTGCTTACCGCCACCGCCGCCACCACTACCGTCACCACATGAGTTCCTATCGTTCACACTGTTATCGCGAAGACTGTCAGTCTCATCACCAGTGCTACTCTTATTATTGATAGCCATTAGAGGAATACCACCACTGCTATCAACTCCACATGCATGGTCCCTCCCATCAACTCTGGGATCCATCAGCTGCTGAGGGTCAGGGACAAATCTGTCCCCATGAACCACAGTCCCCTCGACTGTATCACCAGGGACAGCACCTGCCACATCAGCAGCCGTCTGTTCCTTTCCGCCATCACCATCTCCATCATCACCAAGGCAAACCATCGCGCTATCTTGAGAGGGCTTGCCACAGAGGACTGCCTCATTCTTCCCTGTCTTCTGGCCTGTACTCACAGGCTCCATAGAGTCCGTAGGGTTGTCCTCAGTTGCAGTCCCGTCAGCCCCATCCCTCACTTGAGCAGCCACCTCACGGATTTTCTCGCTCTCATTGGCATCTGCCACCTCCATCGCCCCAGCAGCCTTTCCAGGTGCATTCTTCCCGTTCTCTATCGTCTGCAAACTCAGAGCTGCCTTCGCTACATTCAACCCCGGACCTTTCGTCTGCTCAAGGCTCTCACCATTGGGTAAGGTCACCCTAGATGCCCCTCTGCTGTTCATGCCTGCCAGAAGAGTATCAGCTGCATCCTCCAAACTTTTGGACTCCTCGTTTTCCCCAACAGCAGTTGGATCGGCATCAATTCCACCTTTTGTGGGAATCCCTCCGTGGGCAGGGGCTACACCAGCATCAGACACAGGGAGGGCTACGCTAGCATCAGGGATGGTTTGACAACAACCCACACTGTCCTTATCATTTATCCGTTTGGCAAGCTGGACACTCCCAGAACCTGCTTCTCTTTCTTCACTAGCAACATTTTCACCACTAAGACTCCTGATACAGGCAACTCCAGCAAGATCAACCTTGCCAGAACTCGCACCATCTCCACTGGCTAAACCTTCACTATCATCACGCAGAACACTTGTACCAACCCCATTGACACTAAAGACACCTGTGCTGCAATCAGCTACCTGGCCTCCACCTCTGTCAGAATGTTCCCTGATAACCAGACAATCAGCAACCGAGATATCTGATATTGTACCCACATTGTTATCCAATGCACCCGTTGCCTTGAAATCCTCGGATTCACATATCAGAGACGCAACTACAGTCCCCATCACTGTATCCGCATTCACCTCTACCATATGGCAGGCAGCCTCCTTGCCATCAGCTCTCTCACCAGTTAATCTGATACCCCTACGCTGGACGCCACAGCCAGCACCAGAGACATTGGATGCTCTACACAGATTGTCATCCATCACACTCGTATCGTTATCATTTCCGCACTCGCCATCCACTGTACTCGTATCCTTCACATTTTCACAACATTCACTAATCACACTGAGAACACTCCCCATTGCTGCGTCAGCTTTCACCAAATCTGGTTTTGAACAAGAATCTGAATTGCAATCTCCAGACAGACCGTGCTCATTCCCAAAGCCACCATCCACCCTCATTCCCATGACCCTTGCCCTGACACCATCATCTCGACCTTTGCTGATCATGCTGATTGTGCCAGATTGCATGACACATGAACTGTTGGGAGTGCCAAGATCGATATTTGCAGACTCATTTCCGACATTTCTGTGAGGGATACTGTCAGCAATAAGGCCAGGTGCATTGTTGTGTCCATCAGGATCTTCTGCGCATCTGTTGTCAGTATTTGAGCCAGGTTTGTCAGAATTAACACTGCTGTCCTTGCCAATGTCCTTTGCATCTCCATCATGACCACCTTCCGAGTCCAGTTTCCCATTCCTATTGGTCTGAACACTGCTTCGTGTGTCACTGCTGCCAGCGCGCGAGTCATCATGCGCCATCCCTGGGTCACTCACGTTGGTGGCATACTCGAGTTTACTACCAGCCTCTTCACCCTGTGCTCCTGTCAACGTGTAAGGACTGTCTTCTCCACGAGCCATTTCCGCATTACCCTCCACAGCAGCCTCCTCTACACCCTCTTCTGTCCTTTTACTGAAGACAGCACCTTCCCCATCATTATGGTCACCACTTCTTGCAATTCCATTCCCTACACCTACAGCCGCATCAAGAGAATCAATCCCTATCCTTTGCTCAGAGCTGGGACAATTTGCGAGGCACCGCTCAGAAAACTAACCTTGCTTCTGGCATCCCACATCTTCATCCTCTTCACCCTTCTTTTCTTCCAACCCAGACTTGCCTCCTGGATGGCCCATTGGACCCCCTTCACAGAACAACAGATGGGTGGCTAGTAGACGGATGTGTGGATGGGCAAAGGAGTAGATTGGCAAATGGGAGGATGGCCAGATTGGCAAATGGGCCGATAGGTGGATGGGCAGATTAGCAAATGGGCAAATGGTGGATGGGCGGATGAGCAAATGGACAAATGGGTGGATGGAAAGAAGCAGCACCCCTCCAAAGAACGAGGTGAACCAAAGCCTTTGTACAGTCTGCCTCTGCAGTCAATTGACCACCGGCCAACAGATGGAAGTTGAAGCAGTCCCTACCCGCAGGAAGTGCTGATGTGCCTCCTCCCTCCTCCTTTCTCTCCTCCTTTCTCTCCTCCTTTCTCTAGTGAGGCTGCAGAAAAATGGAAAACTGGACTACTTCCTTCACTGAATGCTGGGCTCTTCCCACCTGAGCAGCCAATGCTCGGACAGGGCACAGCTATCCAGCTTCGACCCCGATCTGTGGGTTAACAATTGTCTCATGCCCAGTGAGAAGATATATCTGCAACATACATCCTGCAAGGAAGAAAGACAAGGAATTCAAACTGCTCAAGTTTCTGCGGGCACTCTAGAAAGGATTACTCTTAATCCTATAGCCAAGGCAAATGTGGGAAGATTTTGCCCCACTTCCTGGAGCAAACCACACACAGTCTGAGAAGTTGAGTTAGAGACCACTTAAAAATGAAAAAGGAACAAAGAAAAAAAGAATTTCAAAAGCCCGCACTGCGCTCTGCTCTAGCTGACAAAGAATATTAGGTGGCTGACTGGCCGAGAGGAGTAAGTACAGTCAGGTTTTAGGTCCTTCAGGCTAGCTTAGGCACGAGTGAGGGGTGGTACATCTTTCCCACGTGAAGTAATCAATGCTGCCCACTCGGGACTCCCAACAATAATGGGGAGCAGCGTTGTGAATACATGATGTATTTCAGGACTTGCCTGTGGAAGAGGAACCGCACTGACGGTCCACAGAATGGACAAGGAGCCAGAACCATAAGGTTCCGTTTTTTTTTAGATAGATGAAAATCAAAAGCCCAGAATCCCAGTTACCCAATCATTTCCAGAGGTCCCCAGTCCCCATTGCCATAACTGAGAGAATCAATATTTGCAGAAAGACAACAGGAAAGGAAAGGAGAAAGATCTCTCTCTCTCTCTCTCTCTCTCTCTCTCTCTCTCTCTCTCTCTCTCTCTCTCTCTCTCTCTCTCTCTCTCTCTCTCTCTCTCAGCGTGGTGTCTGCTTGCGTGTGTACACACTCACTTCGCTCCCTCACCCGCAAAAGGGGGCCACACACAAGCGCCCCGACGAAGTCCACAGGCAAATGGAACAAGCAGGAGTGTCATCTCCCTCTCATTTGTATAAACAACTAGTACCTCCGCCAGTGTTGGGAAAATAGGGAAAACTGGCAGTTTTCCCATTTTCCCCGAAAAGTTCGGAGGTCCCGGAGGCTCGGCAAGAAGAATAAAGTTTAGTTTTAGAGGATAAAAAATAAAAGAAGATACTATCTCTACTGCAATGATGTGTTCACAGTAGTCCTTCACAGAATGAATCTTACAGCTAAAACGGTCAGATTGTGGATGTTGTTGTTTTCTGTTTTTCCTTTCTTTTCTTATTCTTACGAGTCCCCTGCCAGCGAGGCAAGGTGGAACCCGTGATCTGCTCAAGCTGTGTTTCCTTAGAGGATTGTAACCGTGATCACACTGGCACTTAGAGGAATGTATCCAGTCCATTTCACGGCCGAATCCGTGTTTGCTTTTTGGTTTCCTTCTTTGTCCTTCTTGAATTTGACATCCTGGCCATGGGGCTGAGACGCCCTCAATGAGGGCACACTGACACTACCACTTCCAAGAATGTATACAACTGCATTTCACGGCCAAAGATTTGTTTCCTTTTTTTTCCCCCATTTTTGTGAGTTTCACGGCTGCGACTTTTTTTTTTTTTTTTTTCCCGTGAGAGTGCGAGAAAAGAAAGTAGAGTGGGACCCCAGCTCGGCAAAACTCGGAGCCCAGTGAAATTCAGGCTCAACAAAAACAGGCTCGGAGGTACTAGTGGTTTAAGCCAAACCTTCACCCTACAGGCTCTGTTCTGCAGTCTGCCTCCTTTCTCTCACACGTGGCTTAAACCACAAGTTAACGGACCCCTACTATTCACCAAAACGCAGTACAGTGCAACCGTGGCAAGATGAACAATGATCCCGCACGGCGCAGGTTCGGAGGGAAAAGGCTGGTGGGCCCAAAAAAAATCGATTGAAAGCGAAATCGCCAAAAAAAAAAAAAAAAAAAACTGAGAAACTGGACTTGACTGCACTATTTACTCAGACGTCCTGCCTTGCCGGCAGGGTACTAATCTTAGAAAGAAACAAAAAAAAAAGACGCATTTGGACGTAATATCCATCCAATACATTCTGGAAAGTAGTAGTGTGAGTATGCCCTGAGTGAGGGCATTCCTGAGAATGTGGCTAGGAGGAAAGAAGCAAAAGGTTAAAAAGGAAAAGGAATGGAATATATGGACGTGATAGCGGTCAGATACATTCTGGAAAGCAGTAGTGTGAGTATGCCCTGAGTGAGGGCATTCCTGAGAATGTGCATAGGAGGAAAGAAGCAAAAGGAAAGAAAGGAAAAAGGAATGGAATATATGGACGTGATCAGGTACGTTCTGGAAAGTAGTAGTGTGAGTATGGCCGCAGCGAGGACCTTTCCTGAGAACGTAGAATATGTCTGCCTTGCTGGCAGGGCACTAAAGGAGAAAAAAGGAGGGGGGGAAGACATTGATTTGGCCGTGATAGTGCTCAGACACATTCTGGACAGCACTATTGTGAGTATGCCTTAGGTCAGATGCCTTCCCCCACACCTCATTTCTGCATCTCTTTCCTGTTTCTGTTCATCATTGATCTGGATTCAGTTTGTTTGTTTGTGTTTGCTTGTCTTTTTGGTGCCATCTGCTGGCACAAGGTACTACAACACTCGAGTTTCAAGATCGGCTGGTATCGGCACCCCAAGATTTTTCTTTTCAGCCTGTCAGTGTGGCAGTCAGGCTCGGTCGGAAAAGTGCAACTTTTGGTTCGTCAATTTAGGTTCATGTGAACAGGTGGTTTAAGGGTTTCACGCTGCAAGCACTCCCAGGCCCAGTCCCAGATTCCCAGCTTCACTAAGTTCCGAAGTCCCAGAGTCCCAAATTCCCAGAGTCCCAGTTGGGCCCAGTCCCAAATGTCCCAGTCCCGGTAGGATTAGCCGCAGTAGGACAGGGGGTCCGAAGGTGAACCGTCGTAGGTCGGTAGATGTCGGGAACTGAAGCGTGAAAGTCAGTCCCAAAGTCCAATTTGGCAGCAGCATCCCTGGAAAGTCCGGAAACTTCCGGTCCAGTCCGCCCATGCAGTGTCAAGGCCGCAGGCAACCGGTACAGATCCGGGACATCCTCAAGCAAGTAAAAGCGGGACTATTTATAGCTGCTACAGTGCACGTTGAAATCATCTGTTCGGAAGCGCTGCTTGGCGGCTTGTGCCGAGTGGACTACAGGGGAGGAGTGACGAGTTGCACGCAGGACGTCACCATAGCTAGGGTTTCAGAGGTGGACGGGGCACAAGAGTGGACTGCAGGGAAGGAGTGACGGGTGGCACGCAGGACGGCACCATCATAGCTAGGGTTTCAGAGGTGGACGGCGGCCATAGCCGCCTGGGCAGGAAGGTACATACAGGTGGGTAGTATCCAGGGTGGATCCTCACACATGCAGGGTAGTAGCAGACTGTGAGGGAGTGTGATACAAGTGCAGAGAGAACAGCGATGCTTAGTAGGAAGTAGCACACACAGTCGTATCTGGGGAGGGAGAGAGAGATACATACCTGTTTGAGCTTGGCTGGTTGAGCGTCTGAGCCCGATGAGAATAGCGTTTCAGTCTGGTATACCAATTATGTTGATTCTTCAGGAATAAATAAAGTTTCTCCCATCTCTTGGCAACTGCGTATGGTGTGAATCCTCGCTGAGCGTTCATGTGTGAATTCCTGCATGTTGGAGTGTTGATTTGGCAAGCGGTTCATTGCAAGATCATCTTTTCTTTCCAGGGGCCCGATGAAATCCACACACAGGCAAATGATGGAACAAGCACGAGTGTCATCTCACTCTCAGTGCATGCAGCCTCACTTTTTTTGTTGTTAAAAAAAAAAAAAAAAAAAAAAAAAAAAAAAAAAACGCTTTACCGTACAGGCTCTGTTCTGCAGTCTCCCTCCTTTCTCTCACACGTGGCTTAACAGGCACCCCCTTTTGGATGAGGGTTGAGAACCACTTTTCAGCCAATTGGTTAACCCCCCAAGCACTGAAAAGACTAAGTTGCCTAGGAAGGAGATCTACATCTGTGGTTTGTCACACTGGGCTTCTTTTTCTTCTTCATCTTCAGCAAATTTCCAAAAAAAAACGGAAAAAAAAAAGAAAAACATTCTTGTACCAACAGCCGTAACATGAGGCATCGCTACGAAACACATACATGAGAACGTGGTCAGGGGGGGATAACTCTCTTTCTTTCCCCCAAGATCGGCTTGAAGAATCCACCAATGTGACGATGATCAGGCAATCTCTACACCAGTTCAAGACCACCCACCCATTTGCGGTTGACGTCAGTGGATAAGACCGCGTCGCGTCCTACCCTCGGCATCAAAGCAGTGGCGAGCTTGAATCCAAGAAGAAGAAAAAAAATCCAAAAAATGATAAAGAATTTCGATGTCTGACCCTGAAGCAAAAGTTGTTCAGTTTAGTCCTTCGGGACATCCGTTAAAATTGGAACGATACAGAGAAGATTAGCATGGCCCCTGCGCAAGGATGACACGCATAAATCGAGAAATGGTCCAAATTTTTAAGAAAAGTTGTTCAGTTTGTCCCATCGGCGAGCTCAGCAGGGTAGGTTTCAGGTTTCATGCCTGAACGGCACCGCGTAGTTCCTCGGTCCTAATCCCCTCGCCTTCACTTTATTTATATGCCCTGAGGAGGATGGCCAGGGCCAGTCGCCGCTGGTAGCTCGCTTGGGGGGAGGGAGTTTGGCCGCCCTGTAACCCGTGGCAATGCAAGAGCGTCAAGCCAGGTGGAAGTAGGTGGAAGTAGGTGGAAGTGGCTGCTCAAGTCCTGCGCTGCGAATGGTCGGGACGCACCCAGTGAAAGAGTTCTCAGGTTAAACTCTTATCTTCTTCCCCCGAATACAAGGCTAAGGTCATTATTGCTGTATTTAGACTGAAAAAATACCCCAAATACAGCCATAATGACCGTACGTTGTATTTCGGGGAAGAAGGTAAGGTAGTAAGAATCATCTGGAAGAAGTGGCTGCTAAGGTCCTGCTGCGACCAGTCCGGACACACCCAATAAAAGAATTCTCAGGTTGACTTCTCAAGCAGAATCATCCTACCGTCTTGACCCGAATAGAACGCCCGGTCATTATCACTGCATCTAGACTTAAAGTTCCACCAAATACCGCTATAATGACCGGGCGTTCTATTCGGGTGAAGACGGTAGCTGACATTCATCGCTCGATTACGATGCCTATGAGGGTTCAGTTGAGACCCTCTGCTTATCCCTCAACATACCTGTAAAAATAACAGAGGCTCCGTAACCAATAATCATGACATATATATATAACGTACAATAATTTCCAGAACCATTTCGAATTATCTAGGGGCGGTCACCTGTGGATATATCTCGAGACCGCTGCCCTTTTTTGAAAACCCAAAAAACAAAAGTTGCTCAGTTTATTTTTCTGCATAATTCGGATTTTTATTTTTATTTTTTGTGTGTGGTTGGGGTGTGTGCAGGGGCCTTTCCTGATCCTTGCCCAGCCGGACCACCCGGGCAACCAGGGTGGCGCGGGCGGCCCGGTTGGTAGCCAATCAACGCTAGTTCACGCCCCACATCGGCCGCGGGGCCGTGTCAGAGGCTGAAAAACGCCGCCTTGGTTGCCCGGGTGGTCCGGCCGCGGGCCGTGTCAGAGCCTGAAAAGCGCCGCCGGCCGTCGATTTCTTTTATGGACGGTGAGCGGGCGCCGATTTCTTTTATCGATGGCGCGCGGGGGCCGACTTTTCCGGATAGGCGAAGAGTTTCTGTTCAATAAGGCTGGGGCCGTGTACTGGCGGTTTAAGGGGTATCCGACCAAATACGGGGTCTTTGAGGAGGGGCATTTAAAAAATTTCCCCTACTACTCGCAGTAATAGCAATAATGAATGGTTAGGCACTTCATTTTCTTTGCTTTGTTTTTCCTCGTCATAAACTTGCCCGATCGCTTCATACCGTTCCCCCCACGTCCTTTATTTAAAAAAAAAGGACAGGGAAGATGCGCAAGAAGTTCCATGGTAGTTTAAGTCCTGCGGCTTGATGTCGGCCTTGGGCGTTCTTGTCTTGCTTTCTAGTGCGTACCCACTACGGGACTTAATCGAGTGAATTTGGCCGTACATACGGTCAGATACGTGCAGGAAAGACGTTGGGTCAGAATGCCCCTCAGTCAGTTTGTGCTGGCATATGCTGCTTCATGCAATCATATAATTTATTAATCATTTAATTTACAATTACGCATCAATGATTATTCAATCAAGTATCATCACGTGTCCGATCACCACTCTTCATCTCGGGATTTATTCAAAACGAGCCGACATTTATTTATTAAAAAGAAAAAACAAAAAACCGAACTTCGCATATTGTACCATCGATCATCCTTTTTCATCTCGGGATTTTTCTGAACGAGTCGACATTTTACTGTATTATGGGGAAAAAAAAACAAAAAAGAAAGCCGACCTACGTAAATCAATCGTCATCTGGCTGTCCACCAGGGGCGAGTACCCACTAGCAAAGGATTGAGCGCCTGAATGTGGATGTGTCTTGCGCACAGATGCAGAAAAGCAGATCAATCGCGATTTTCTGCGTCTCTCCACAAACTCGTCCAGATTCAGGAGTTGAATCCAACCCTCTTGCTAGTAGGACCACGCCCCAGATCTCGCGGGTCTTGTCTATGCGTGTGTTCCTTAACACAGCAGCAAGTGCGGCAAATACTCGCACCACTGACATCAAAATCTTTCCAACATATTTTTGGACGGAATTGCGATCAGATACATTCAGGAAGGTCCGTAATTGCGGTCACAAACATTCAGAAAAGTACGACTGTGGGTATGATTATTACTGTACTACTCTCTAATCTCTACTATTCTGTGCTTTTTTCTTTCTTGCGGCCACCGCCGTCATTACCGGGTTTAAACCCCCTTTTTTGGGGGGCGGGCGGAGTCGTTTCCTTCCACACGTTTACCTCAACAATTAGTCGGGTGGGGCGGCGGGGGGGCCGGGCGCGGGGAAAAATAGTTGGGAAAGACATTATTATCATTTTCATATTGGGAAAGACATTATTATTAGCTCTCTTTTCTTAACGAAGATGTTTCCCCATAAGGACGAAAACTCGAGAAGAAGGAGAGAGGGGAGACTGTCCGCCTTCCCCCAAAATACAACGCAAATGTACACTCGCTATCTTTCCGGTTCGATACAGGCGTCACGACGGGGTAGAAGGGTGAGGAAGAGGAGGAGGAATGTGTAGGACCGCGCAGCATACAGATACCAGACGGACAGAAAACGGTAGTGTTTGGGTAACAGGGAGAAAATGGGGAAAAAAAACAGAAAGGAGGGACAAAGAAAAGAAAGAGAACTCGGCGGGGCGTTTCCACGTCAGCAAGGTCGGATGGACAAGCCCACAGACACAAAGAAAGAGAGAGAGAGAGAGAGAGAAAGGGAACAGCTAAGGAGACTCTGGGGAAGATAGCGAATTAAACTACTCTAAGATCCATAAATCAAGTGGAAGATAAAATTGGTGGCGCGGGATGGAACATTCGTCAGAGGGGAGGAGGAGAGGGGCAATTAACGAAGAGAGGGGCAATTAACGAAGAGACTAAGGAGTTAGGAGAGGGAGAAGGCAGGGATATCGGCACACGAGCTTTACACGCTCGAAGAGAGAGAGTCGGCGAAGGGAATAATAGGCCAAGGAGAAGCGGCAAGATGGAGAAGAGAGAAGGAGAGGGGGGGGGGGGGGGGGGGCGGAGTCAAGCAGGGGGGCAAGATGAGGAATGAAAGAGGACAGGGGCCGAGGGAGGGTAAAAAAAGGGAGAAGAAGAGCAGAGGAGCTGAGCACGGAGAACCGAAGAGACGTAAATCTGTCAAGTACACATGGCAAACAATCGCACGGTCAGGCTGCCAGATCGAATACCCAAGAGATTACCGCCTCCACTTGCATAGAACGCTCGGTCATAATAGCTGTGCATTGGGGGCAGCTTTCAGTCTAGACACAGCGATAATGACCGCTCGTTCTATTAATGAAGTCTCTGACAGGGACAATTGTTGAGCAGATGGGGTATAGAGCGAGAAGCACGCGTCAAACAAGAGGGACACGACAACAATGAGGCCGTGACCAAAAAACAAAAAGAAAACACTTTTTCTTCGGGGAAATTAAAAAAGGAAAAAGCCACGACAGCAGGAGGAGCACGCCGATGAAGTGCAGGCGCCAATAGATATATCCACACAGTAGGGCGTATTCACATTTGGGAACTTGATTGAATTCGGCCGCGAACTGAGGTCAGGTGAATCCAAGGACAGGTCCTGATGTGAGCAGCAGGCCCGGAATTAGATCGATTTAGTGTCCAACTGCAACATAGACGTGCTGCGCTGTCAAGGCAAGGGGATCTGCTTTCAATCTCTAATCTTTTTTTAATCGTCTTTAACATTAAAAAATGATAATGTTTTACTTTATCATCTGAAATGTAAAATCCCCTTATCCTATACGTATGCATATTATACATGTGTAATATACACGATTTTATATTATTTTAAGAGTTGCCTCGCGAATGATTGTCAAA